CTTCAGATTTTAAAAAAATACTTTTTGCAGCTTACTGTTGCAGCCATAAAGATGAAAAGACCAGAAATCGCTGCAAGAGCTGTTGAAGTTACTTAAAGACGCATGTCAAGAAACAAGTGGCCTGAATACTATGACACGAAAAAAGGAAGGTTCATTGGGAAGCAAGCACAGTTTTCTAGACATGGTCAATTGCTGGATACCTTGTGGCTAAGCTCCTACTTGCAGACCCAAGTGTAGCCAAAATTCTGAGAACTGAAGAGGATTCCAAGCTTGTCAATGGCTTCTCTTGTATGATAAGTGATAACCCCACAAGAAAGCGCGGTTGAAAGTACTCCCAACAGACTTACATAAAATAAAATTTTGAAGCTGCTTTCACGTAAGTATAGGTAACTTCAATTTATGGCTCAACTTGCCTATCTAAACAACTTAAATGTAAAGATGATATGTTGATTTAGGATTAGCATTAGCTGAAAATATCTTCCTGTATTAGAGATTTAACAAATTATTTTTTCTTTACAGACTTTATATCATATACATAGTACTATAGGAGTGAAAAACATTCTTTTAGAGAGTTCATTGTAAATCAAGAATACCCTTATATTATTTTAATTTTATTGTTCGATTATGACATTTTTTATATCTCGTAAATTATTTTGAATTAATTATAATAATTTTTTTACCTCGTAAATCATCATTGTTGTTAAAAAAAATCAAGTGGTATGTAAAGTAATTGTATGAGACAATAATCTGAGAGCGAAGATACTTTTTGTAAACTCATTTTTATTCATTACATATTTTAGTATTACTACAAACTTGTAAATTTTTAGTTCTTACTATCAGCTCATAAAGAAAACTAAAGTTCTATTACAATCTTTCAAGTTTCTGGGATAAGCTCATAAAAGAAACTAAAGTTAAGCTCATAGAGGAAACTAAATATATAGCATTCAGCAACTTTTGCTTCATTTTGGTCTAGCATTAGTCACAATCCTTCTTTCAATCTGTACACCAAAATATATTAAAAACAAAAAAATAAATATATTTCCCAACAACAATAGAAATTAACCTCATCCATATATATATATATATATATATATATTCAATTTGTAAACGAAAAAATTACATAAAAAATTTTAAGTCGTGGGTCAAATTACACTAATCATTAAAAAATTATATTGTAAGAATAAATATACAATACCAACAATAATTATTAATTACCTCATGAAGAATGCTCAATTTTTCTTGCAAGATTGAGAATTCATGTTTGAGTGCTTCCAATTTCATGATACACCTATAGAAAAAACACAAGTGTCTCGAGATGAATTTTTGAACCAAAGTTAATTTGATCATCAATATATATATATATATTGGTGCATATATTTGTATAATAATATCATGCAGATGAAAAAAAAAGAGAAAAATAAATGTTTGCTTACTGTTGCTTAGATTTGTCCTCAACAGGCTTAAGGAATTCACGACAGATCTGTGCCATGCGACAAGCACCAATGCTGGAGTACCACAGTAACAATGATAATACATATATATATATATATATATGTACCCACACACAATAGTATTTATTATGATCTATATTTTTAGTATTATTTATATAGTTCATCCGGGGTTGTATAGTTAATTACCATGACGATGCCCCTTTGATTTTGAAGATAAATTCGCCTATCTCGTGAAAATCCACCTCCGGTTTTTCCCTACAGTTAAATTAAGAGAAAACAGACATTATATATACTTACATATATATATATATATATACATCCACGTAATACATGAATGATTAAACAGGAAGATAAAGGAATCATCAGATTTTAACTTCATGTTAGAACTTTAAATTCGATCTCTTAATTAATGTAAGACTAATATATAATGGATTCTACGAAAAATACTTAAGTATTAAAGGCTATATGAATAATAAAGAGATATACAATATTATATATATATATATATATATATACACACATACAATTTTGTTGTCATATTCCTTAAAGTAACTCGAGAATCGTTCATGAAAGTAGGAAGCAGGTGGAAAAAATAGAAAGGTCCACATTCTTGAATCTCTTTCATTCGATAAGCCATTGCAAGCTGCTCGTCCACCATCCCCTGCACCTCACCATTACAAATATTGACTAGACATGCATGCATCAAAACCATCATATATATATATATATGTATCATACAGTAGCATATGAGAGAGAGAGAGAGAGAGTACCTCCTGTTCCATCTCCTGTATAATATTCAAGATCTGGGTTTTGAGAGCAGCCGTATCAGCCATTGATGAGCAGAAGAGTCAGTCAACCGGTACTGGAGAGTGATGGAGAAGACATTGTGTATAGGTATATATACACCGAGGGAAATGGCGGTTACATACAGTGGAGTAACTGATAGTGAGTTGTTCACCATTTTTCTTCACAAGGAAACAAAATTGCAGTCTCCTATGCCTATAACTCTCCGTTCTCTGATCTGTAAACCATTCATCATTCATAAACGTTTCCTATGTCATGTGTTGAGCGTTTCTTCTTTTTCAAATTTTTTTGTTTATGGTATTTTCGTTCTAGGGTTAATTCATTATTAGGAGTATTAAAATATATATATATATATATATATAAAACAAGTATGCCCCATTTTATGACAGGATGACTAGACCATATTAGTATAGTATAGTATAGTATTAAAAGCTAAAATAATTTGTACATGTATCTAATTGTCCTATTTGCGTTAATTTCCTTATAATTTTCATGGTTTTCTTAATAAATTTAAATTACTACCATTTCTTCCGTATTATATAATTAAAGAATATATCATTATTTTAATATTTGAACTCGCTTATTTATATTCTTTAAGAATTGAATTCCGGTTTATCTTCGTATATATATGAAGGATTATGGAGTAAAATCTCATTTGATAAATTCAAGATAAAAATATAAGGGGTTCAAAAATAAAATTAATGAATATATATAACATTCCATATATAAAAGATTATTAGCAATTTTACAAAAAATACAAATTGAATCAAATGAAGCAAATAGATTTAGTACTGCAAGTATACATATATATTTTTGGATATTTTTAATTTAGATTGTATATATATGTCTTTCTATTATTTGGAGTAAAAAAAATAATTTCATAAAAAGTCAATATGCTATTGGAGTTAATTCACGACTGTTAATTGAAACTTAGAAATTTTTAGAAAAATATAAATTCTTATAACGAACTTACTTTATGATTACCATCTAATTGTGCATTAGGAAAAAAAAAAAAAAACTTGCCTTTATTTTGCTTTCTCTCTATTCTTGTTTGCCTATCTCATTTCCTTTTATTTTTCCTTCTTTTTCTCTCAATTATTTTTTAATTCTTCTTATATTTCTAAGTCATTTAAAAGTGCTCACACCACGACACAATAACAAGGATGATCACACCATAGCACAATACCAAATGTGAGGATAAGATTACAAAAAAATTGTATTATAATGAAGAAATGAACGGAGTTAATTTTATAAAAAAATTATTTTATCGTTTTATGTTTAAATATTACATCATGAATTATGTAATTAAATATTTTAGAATTTTAACATTATTTTTTATTTTAAAATATGTTATTTTTAAAAAAATTATTATAAGATTATACTTAAAAAAAAATCTAAATTTAGAGAACTGAATGTTTATTAAGAGTCAAAGTTTAGATTTTTTTTTTTTTTTTACATTAAACAATTAAAGAGATAGTAATTTCATTTTTAAAAAGTAAATAAATAGATATTTAATTATATTTAAAAGGTTGAAAGGCAGAGGTTATTAATTTACCAATTCTAAATATCGATATACGTATAATGATGTATAATCTCAATTACCAATATATCTATAATAACATAAAATATGTATATACATATATATTTAAACCAAAAGAATAAGTTTAACAAGGATTATATACTTGGACCCCTTATTACATTTCTTATATCAAAAATCTTCTCGTGATTTCATTAATTTTTTTTTTT